TTTTGTCTAATGGTGGGCTGTTGTTAGTTCGAAATCCTATTGGGCCTTCCGTTTCCTCAACATACATATGTGTCAGCAATGGACATCGTCTACTTTTTATATAATTTGAGTTCTAATGTGTAGACATGGCAAAAGGGGTCCGAATATCCATATGCCCGGGAAGATAATGCACGTTTTGTAAATACAAATACTATCATACGTTTGGGACGTTTCGGAGGCGACTGGACGCATTACTGTGGGAGTAGGTATGGGATTTGCACACTGGCTCAAAGCCAGCACGCGCGTCTGGGTCACGAAAATTTGGTACTAATTAAGTCACGGTAAAAATCGTGGTGAAGTATACCGTATACGATGTGTAAACTCTCCTTGTAAGTACACAGATTAAACTGAATGCATGCTCAGTTCGCGCAAACACGCTCTGGCAGTGCGACTAAGTGACGGATTATCACGGGTTCCTGTCCTCGCCTTCGAAACTGGCCACGTGATTGACATCTCATTCGCCAAGATAACTGCTCATTTTAGAAGCAAGAAAAGCCGAGAATTGATCGAAGCCTGGACCTCTGATGATAACTCAGTCGACCAACCAAATGACCTGACTCTCACACACAGGCCGCAACCCAGTCACCTCCAGACCCACGGCACCGGTCGCTGATTGGCTAATGACCCCAAAACTGACACTTATTCTGTCAACTCCGACGGTTCACTCCGCTTCTTGTTCGAAAGTGCCGACAAATAAGCGAATGGTTTCGATGCTCGATCAGTTCATTTTTTACGTACAAATACTTCTGGCTGTTCCTCGTTTATTTTTGTCAAAAATCTAAAAGAAATTTATCCAAGCTCCCTTCACCTCTGGAGATGATCATTTATCTTGATCATACACCTCAGAGGACATTCGGAGCTCTTCCGCACTTTTACGAAAATTGTCCTGGCGAAGAGATCGGCGTACTTATTTGGCTATATAAATCGCATTTTAGTCATCAGCGAACTAGCCCTCTACATCGTTAAGACTAGTTATCGTAGACACTGCCAGCTGTAGCGAGATCCCCCCTCGAGATTAGCAGTCCTGGCCTAATGACTCGTTCAATGCTGCCTTTTGGCGTTGGACAGAAAACTCCCTGGTGAGGTCGTTCCTGGCGGCGAAATTGTTCTGGGAGCACCCTGGTCTTCCCTCCAACTCCGGATATCAACTCGCGGGCGAATAAACTGACTTCATTTTGGGAACATGGATATTCCGTGTTGCGAGTGCGATGGACATTCTGACCGCAGGGGACGGTGAGTGAAGCTGTCCCCGTTTATGAGCTCATGAAATTTTATGAAGTAACTGGATTCTTCATATTTCGTTACCTGTGCCTTGCTTGAATTTACCACGGGGAAGCAACGTTTCAGGTTTATATAAATGTTTCGACTGTGGGCATGCACCCCAGTAGTCACTCGTGCTAAGCTGATGCAGATTTGGTCAGTCTTCTGTTCGTAGCCATAAAAACATCTCTTCGCCGAAGGCCTTAGGCGCTATTTTGAGTTTAAAATCAGAATTCGAAATGTCTCACTGCAGTAATAACAGTTATTATCAAAGGTGTGCACGCATTACCCAGGTGTCTCTGACTTGTGGTGTGAAGAGGGGAAATATGCGATGCATTCCGGTTAATCAGGCCCAGTTTTCTTGATTCAATTATCTAAGGCTTATAAAAGAGCCTAGACTCCAATTGGCATTTAATCACAAGGCGATAGCATAAAAGCGCAAAAGATGGTCATCTACTGAATAACAAAGTCGCCTGAATGTGACTGTTTGAACACGTTCTAAACTACGCCCAAAACTGCCCTAATGCGGTGTAAATGCACGCACCAGATGAACAGAAATGTTTAATAAAGACTGCTTTGGAGACAACGGTGCACTTTACTTTGATGGCTTTGTCGTATTCTGACTTGAAATTGCGCCTCGATTCAGCAGTAAATTTTCTGAAACTCGTGTCAGTCGTCTACTTTTCTTTCCGAGTGTGTCATCGTCAGTGCACACCCAATATGCTGATGGTCTCAGAGTGATTTCTCATCATCTGATCACTGGTCGCGCACCGCAGTCGTCATGTTCGGCGCGACACGAAGAGCTATCGTCAGTACATGAATACTCTTCGTAGTGTTTGGTGTGGGACAATTTTAAATTCCTTTCTTTCTCTCTGTTTTCATTTGTGCTCGACAACTCTAAGCCCGCAATCAAAAACTGCAGTGGCCAAAACGATCCTGGATTCCTTTGCTGCTCAGTTCTAACTATAGGTGACTAAATGAATTGCAGGTGCTCTTTCTATAGGGTTATTGGGTCCGAACTGGTCTCCCTAGTTGCTTCTGGCTTTGTCTACAATATACCTCGTGGCCTGGACCACCTGGTATCGACACCACTGGTCGGCTTAAATACTCCAGCCTTGATACGGATTAAATGTCAGATTTGTTGTTTGTTTAGTTTTAAAAAAGATTTCTCGATCGAGTTGGGCGAATGTGCACAATATGCAACGTTTTAGGCGCCTAAAATGATCATTTCAGTTTCCGCCACCGCGTTTCATGAGATAGGTAGCATTCTACACATGCTAGCTGGCCTACCGGTAAATATGGCGGTAAGGTGATATACAGTTCATTAGAGACGTGGCCACTTAACTGTCGTTAGGGAGAACGTGCAGTGTATGTTATAGCATGATGGACCCCAAGGTTTGTGAGCGTCTGCTATGCAATGATTAGCAAACCATGGTCCCGCCGCCTGGTGTGCGCTGGCAGTTCTCCGGTACGTGGTTCTCAATCTCCCCTCTGCTATCATAGCTTGGCCGACTTCGACCTGGTAGGTAGTTCCCTGTTCGTGACCCCTATCACCCATACGAGGCTTGTTTGCTTCGGGAAGCCAATGGATCGGTGTGCGTCTATTCCTGAGTGAATAAATACCCTATGCGTAGCGACAGAGGATGGCAGGTGGCGAGGCACCGATGAATTTCGGTTCGATTTAATGTTTTATGACTCATCTGGTAGACCTCAGTGATGGGCCAGCTGCGCCAGGTGGTTTACGCTTGGGATTGGGTATGACAGTCTGATGACGGCTAATAAACCAGAAATTGCCACTCCAGTCTCCCTTGTCTTTGTCGGTATTCCATCACAAACATACGTTACTAATCGCTATGCGACTGTCTTCGAGGGTTCTAGTTTGAGCCCCAAGGCACAACGGGACGAGCATGTTCCTTAACTTGATCAGTAAGCGCCCATCTGTCACGATTGATATTCCCGATCACAACCGACAGGACAACGGGCTTGTGGCTCAATGGTAGAGTGTCAAACTCCATGACCAAAGATCCCGGGTTCGAATCTCAAATGATCCCCACTTGGGGTTGGACATGACTGGCTGATGACGCCTAATAAGCCGGAAATTGTCTTTCCGGCCACCCTTGTCTTTGTCATATATATAAGAGACGGGGAAGCAATGAAGCTAGGCATGCTTTCAATATTTAATCTTTGAGTCTAAGCGGTTATGAAGGGAGTAAGTGGTTGTAAAGGGAAAAGCGGTTAGCGGAGTGTAGACATTCGGAAAAGAGTGCAGAAGAAGATGATGGAATGAGTTGTAAAAAAATTTGACGGAATAGTTAGTTGAAACAACTATCTTGTTTTGACTTGAATGCAGGCTAATAGAAACGAAACCATCACAGCCGCAAATATGTACGAAATTACTTTGCGTGCACAAGGCCAATCTGTCGTCAGTAAACAAACCATGTAACCCGATCTCGTGGGGGTGTAAACGAATGTCATTCAGGTCATGCAGTTTGCACTTTGAAAGTCAATTAGCCGGACGTCCACATCTAGTCAGAAACAGACCAGATGCTCCAAATAATTACATGAAAGTGTGCTCAACGCACTCCGCTCCGCTCCCACCCTCCAGGAAGTGCTTCTACCCTATTAACTGCCCCATTTACGACCTACCTATCAATGGGTAGGCGTCCAATGGGCAATCATTGGCATGATGTCTACCGATGAGGCGATAAACTGGATAGTCCCCTTTTGAGTCGGGATTTCCGAACGACATTGGCAGTCGTCCATCGTCAGGGCCTGGCGGATCTGCAACGTTGTCGGCACTAGAGGGGAGAGGACGCTCTTGCCGCTTGTGTCCGCGTGCTCTCATGAGCCTACGCACAGTAGGCGGACTAACTCAAGAAATATCAACCGAAATTCCGAAATGTGTTTTCGTTTCGAAAAGATTAATGAAATAGGGTTGTAAAACTAATCATTATGCAGCGTAATTCTATAATATTTCAGTTACCTCAAGATGCCGGCTTTCGAGCAAAATTACGCTCTGTAAAAGATGACTACCTATATAGCATGCATTTTCTCATTGATTTTCGATGTCTTAAAAAATGCAATTATATTTCACGGAAAACATGCATAAAAGTATTTATTCTTTTGCTCATTCGGTAGAAAATTCCGTTATCCTCCAATTTTATACCAGAAGGAAGTGTATAATTCCAATTCCCGAACAATTTTGAACCCGACTTGCCGTTGTACTTGCATTCAGGGTTTCCAAACTACAATCCATTTTTTTCCGCGTAATGGAAAACCTGCCTCTACGTAATCATCACCTGTGTCCACTACCTCGATGAGGCCAAAACCGAACTCGTGGTCAGTTAGACGGGGTGCACCGCCACCTGCACAGTCCGTTCCAACGCCCGCACACATAACTGATGTTCGATCGTCCTCGTCTATGGTTGTCGGCCGGTTTCGCT